ATTGGGTGACAGGTTTTCTTATTTGTGTGAAGAGTTTTGCAAAATTAGCCAATAGTTACAAAAAATGTGCTTAAGCAATCAGAAAAAACTGTAAATGAATACATTTCCAACCATGGACATATTTACCTTTTACAGGTACAGATTATAATATTAGCAGATGTTTAGCTGCACCTACAATAAAACTTTATCTTGAGTATATAGTCCACACATTCACTATTCAACATATTTGAATTTACCAAATGGATCTTAAATTCCAGGAATTAGTATGTGCATCATACTTCAAGAGAGATTCAAGATTCTTTATTTGTCACATGCATAGTTATACAAGTACAATACGCAGTGAAATGTATCCTGAAACCCTCCTCGACTGTGCAAAAGGGGAGAGAAGTACATTATATACATTATGTGAATATATACATGGGGGACTTTATGTGCAGTAAGTGGCATTGTGTGGAACAAGTGGGTGAATTCTGTACATTAAATGAATTAAATAAAACAGACAATCTCAAATTTTTTAAATTAAAAAATCTGAAATTTACATTGTGCCGGTGGTTGTTAGAATGTCTGGAAGAGAGTCCTGGCTCAGTCACTTATGGATGCTTATGGATACTTAAAGATTTAAATATATTTATGACCGGCTATCCAAAAAAAATGTTGGGACCACATATAAAATTGAAATAATACTGAAATCACTGATAACCCTATACTTGAAAATGTAACAACATTTAAAGTAAACATGCTTAACATGTTTACTTTACCCAGAACCTGCTAGAAAACACAGTAACAAAAAGGTTAATGAAGCCATTGAGATTTTTGTCATTTCTTTATTAATGTGATAATATGACCATAAACATCATCAGTTTTCCTAAACGTCCTCAAAGTAGAAAGATGCCCAAGGAAACAACTGAAATGAACATACACTGCCTTCACACACATATGAACTTGAGTGACATCTCATTCGTAATCCACAGAGTTTAATATGATAGCCAACCCTTTGTAGCTATAAAAGGTTGGATACTTCTGGGATGGCTTTCCACAAGGTTTACGGGTGTGTTTGTGGGAATCTTTGACCATTCTTCCAGAACCACTTTTGTGAGGTCTGTAAACCATGTAAACCATAAAGTTTTATTTTGCTATACTCTTGACAAAACATTTGTTTTGCTGTCTAAGTTTAGCCAACTACAAAATGGCACCTATGTTTATTGTGTGAAGCTAGTTTTCTCCTTTGGTATATACACATTTAGGTTATTCATATATATTTGTCATTTTTATTTTTTATTACTTTTTTTTTTAACAGTGAATTTCCAGAACTTTAGCCTAATTTTCTGATTAAGTGCTTCTGTCTGCCATTGGAAGAAAAAGCAGACTAAAGTACACATTCAGAGGCAGGTGAGGTGGTGGGTGCTAAAGTTACATCCATAAAATTTTGGATCAAGACAGTTTTTGTACTTTTGCCTCGCTACATCACCACAGCAGATTTTAAATCAAACAATCCAAACGTAATTGGAATGCAGACTTTCAGCTTAAATCAAGTGCTGACAAATATGCAAAAAACTAAAGGCACTAGGATACATTCCACATTAGTTACTTTGCATGCTACTGCAACATCATCTGACTGTCATTTCTTTTTGACATCTGACTGGTCACTTGGTGTTCGCTCTCTCTGCGGTAGAGTATCACTTCCTGTTCCTGCTCAACACACAGTGGTGTTTTTGAGTAGCTTATCTGCTTAGCAATTTAATTAAAAACTTTTAGATACCTCCTTTTTTATAGTATAATCTACACGTGCTTCATCCGAACCACACTCTGTGTACTCACTTCTAAATTATAGCCAAAGTATTCACTCACTGTGTCTTTACTGTATCGCTAGCTTAGCTTAGCTCGTAGCCAACTTGCTAGCAGCATGGTCTCTTCACCTGTCCCTCCTGCACTTTCCTGCTCATTGCGTCAGATGTTTAGTTACTCCTCGGCCTCCTTTAGTAGTAGTGATACTTGTAACAAATGTAGCACATTTGCAGCTCTGGAGGCCAGGATTACTGAATTGGAGACTCGGCTTCGCACCCTTCATTCACTCATAGCTAGCGTAGGCCCCGATAGCTTTTACCCGGCATGTTTGTTCCTTACATTGGAATTTGGAGGTGTGTGTGTGTGTGTGTGTGCGTGTGTGTGTCAGAGTGTGACCCCATAAATGACTTCCCTAAACCTGCTGGTCTGGAAAGTCCAAACAACAGAAGAATTTACTGAATACAGTAAAACAAAACAAAACAAAACCAAAACAATTATGCTGCATCGTTTCTTCTGTTTCTATTTGGCCACAACACCTCATCCACATCACAAGCAATATTTTCACTGGCCGATCAGCAGGGCAAATATCGCCTAGCATGGCGAATCGAGAAAAAACTAAAAAGCGTGGGTGGACAGTGAACCAGTCTTCATCGTCCTCATCCTCCTCCTCCTCTTACTCTCACTCCTCTGGCTCTGCCTCTGTTTCCAATGTTGGCATCCATTGCACCAAAACAGAAGAACTCACCTGTTGCCCTTTTATAAAGCTCTGATTTTTTCATTGCAATTATGTGTGAAAGGTGTTTACCTATGTGATGAGTTTGTATGCAAAGTAGGGCAACTGAGTTTACAATTTTGAATGACAGTGTGTTTCTTGTGAAAACAAGAGATTTTCTTCATGAAAAGAGTTCCAAATGCAGAGAATTATGTGTAGTGTTTTGAAAAAAGTGTGTTTTAAAACTGCAATTTGAGTGTAAAGCAGGAATTATGCTTGTAGTTTAGCAGAATTGGTTTAGGGGGGTGGTGCATCAGTTACATGTGGTAGTCACTGTGTCTGAAGTACAAGTAATTGTGTGTAAACAACTGGAAATAACTGTAATATTACTGTTAATACTACTCTGAAAATAAAGGATCACTAAGAGTTTTCACTTTCCTGAATCGCCTGAAACTTTCCTTAGGTGTCTTCTCTGTGTTGACTAATCGGATAACAACATATTCTCAGGGCTATCTTGATATGATCTTCTTCTGCAAGTACTTTAGGAGGAAAAATCTGAAATTCATTTCCTTATGAAATAGGAAGAAAGCCACATCAGAAATGTTCTAAGTGGCTGTCAAGAATCCATTTTGTAGAAAAGCAGAATGTGAAAAGAAAGACTGAGATATGCCAATTACACAAGAACTGGACTGAAAATCACAAGCCTAAAAATACTCTACAAACCAAGTACACATCATAAGATATCTTGGGTGTTTTGCACACCCACTTATAGATACACAAGGATACTTAATATAATTTTTTTTAATTTACTTAATTGAATTAATGAATTTATCAGCCACAGGCAAGGCCAGAGCTGGGAATTGTTTGTGGAGGAGGAAGGAAGGTTATATGTTGTCAGTACGGACAAACACATTTTTAAGTTTGTGTGGATGAAGAAGAGTGATCTTTATCTTTACTGAGTATTTGTTAATCATTTCATCACAACACACAATTTAACATCTCATCCTAAATTAAAGATTAAAGATACTGCAATAGACAATAAACTCCAGAAAACCAGGAATCAACATATGAACATTATCTGTGCAAAGACTGATACTGCTGAAGTAAAAGAGCAAAGTCACAGAGGTGTTTATGAATACACAGCCAGGCGTTTTGCAATCTGGTCCATTTTGGCACAATCTGTGAGTTGAAATTTCTTAGGTATTGATATTGAACAGAAGAAATGATTTAACTTCATCTAAATACCTTTAAAATGCTTGTTTTTCAATAATTTTTGAAGAATTACTCATAAATGTTTTAAGTAAAAAAAAAAAAATTGGCGTGTAAGTATGGACTTATTTTGCAAGAAAAAATTGTGAACGTGTGATTAAAGAATAAGTGGCAAAGGTACCAGTATCTATTAAAATATGACAGGAACCTAACCCAACAACAGAAACAAGAGAGATACATTAAACATAAAATAACTAAATATGAGAGCAGTTATGTGACAGTAATATCTCTGTTTTCCTTTCCAATCCCATACCAGGTAAAGTTCAGGCTGGTATCAACAATACTGATTCAATATCAGTACTTTGTACAAGAACTTAATGTGCTTGGAAAATCAAAATCAGCAGTATTGTATTTTAAATTATACCTTAACAACAAATACAAGACATCACACTACTTGTTCTTATTGTTTAATTATGAAGAATTATCATACAAGAGGGAAAAAACCCAGTCAATGTCAAAACCTTTAAAATATTCAATTAACAATGACTCAAAACAAATATGACTGATTGAAAACAACAATAAAGCTAAGAACCATTTTCATAGACTATCTATCTATCTACCTACCTACCAATCTATCTATCTATTATATGAAATATTCTGAGTTATTTTTAAAGCCTACAGTGACTGTTTTACTACAAGTAGGCTGCATATTTTAATGATAGCTAGCCTATAACATCCACTTTATACAACCTTGCCGTATTAAATTTAAGCCAAATGAATTAATATCTCTCTCCTCCTGTTCAGTTCTCCTCATCATAAACGTCTATTCTGTTATGATTTACTTGTGTTTGTCTTTGACAAAAACTGTGGTCTTGTCACAAACTGTGTCTTGGCTGTTACATTACACTTACAATCAGCCATTATTATCAACGGATTGAGTAAGCACACAGGACATTTATACATCTGTATTTTGCATCCCACTATAACAGGCGGATGAGGAAGTAGTTCCTACCAGTCATTTCAATGATCACAATAATATAGTTACTTCCTACTGCTTTTCTGTTAATGATAAAATCCAATTTTCCCCAAACTACTAAAATAGACACATTATTTGGTATCGGAGGAATCAGTATTTCAGTATCAATCCTTGCACCACTAGACAAGAGAGGGAGAAGAACAGTTAAGGAAACAACAAAGAAACTAAACATAAACATATTCAAAGTAGGACCTGAAACTGAATGAAAATTCAAGTATTCTAAACTAGAACAGCATCCAGCACTCCATAAAAACAAGGCAATAAGAGGAACTCAAACTATTGTGTTATTACTAGATATATTAGATTAACAATAAAAACAATAAAAACATGACCTTATGACACTAACCCTATCAACAATAGCATAAGAAATCAAACTGCCTATAGAATTATAAAGAAATAAAATCAGGAACAATAAAACCCAACAGAAAGAAAAAAATAGCTTTATTCACATGAATCCCAAGCTCTGTCATTCCTGGAGTAATGGCTAAACAATTAAAATGAAAGAGACGAAAATGTTCAGATTAAGTGCAATATGTAATGACAATAAGTGACCCTTATGTGCGTTTATGGTCTTCTATCCATATCTAATGCACTTAAGGTGGTTTTTGAAAAAGTGAAGCTGCAGTTTGAATTTGCCTTCACTTCTTTGAGGGTATCTGAATTTGTTGTAGGTAGGATTACGGTTTTCCTGTGTTTTGGGTTGATGGTCAATTATCACATCACCACATGAGGCAACCATCAAAGAGCCCAGGCCATCCATGAAGAACTCTAGAGTCAGAAACAAACATTTCCCATTTAAGAAAATATCATCTTAGTGCCATTTTCAATCTAAACCCCTTTTGAGGTCTGGACTTACCTGAATGCGCTACTCGTTGGAGCTTGGGGTCAAATCTCACCCTCTGCATGGCATCTGTACGAGCCAGGAAGAAGTTGACCACTCCACTGGCCAAATGGCATTGTGGGTAACCAGGAAGATGGTGGAATTTTCCACCAGATTTCCTGTATAGGCAGCCACCTTCATTTTCATCTCCTTCCTCATATAGAATAGAAAAGTAAAAGCGGTTCCCTTGTACTGACCCACCAACCTAATTAGAGAAAAACAAAAAACCCATTATAAAATCAACACAATACAGTACAACAGAATCCATGTAACCAAGGTTCAAAACTGGTGATTGAGAAAAAATAATCTTGAATTATTATTCAAGATTAGATTAGGCCACGTTAGAAGTCTAGTTTTTTTTCAGATGCTTTCTGTCCAGGGGTCTGTTACATAAACTAACCTTTGCTAAGCCTGATTTGGACTCTTCAGTTGGTCTTTGTTGAGATCAACAGTTAAAGTGAACACAATCTGGAATGTTTTTCTGTTTTTAAATCTGTTAGATGCTTTCTTACAACCTTCAAAGACCAATCCCTAAGTTATAATTTGCATTGGTTGCATCAAACAAACTTAGATGCATGCTCATGTCTGGTCAAAGCTCTTCAGTAAGTTGAAACAGATGTGGAATCAAACTTTCAGTTGGTTCCACATTGTTGCATTTTCCCAATTCAGGGGTTCTGTCCTTGTTCATGTCTAAAAGTTTGCTTGTTGTAAACTCATCAAGTGCTATATGCTGCATACAAATGAAAGATTTTGTCTTTAAAGCTGTTCTTGACTAGGCAGAAAATTGATGTTAAGTCCAATTGTTGAATGTTTGTCATTATGCTTCTTAAATTTGTAAGGTCTTAGTTCAATCTATAGGATCAAGACATGCCTTTGTCCCTGACCACCTCTCCAGCCACTCTGTGCTGGGGGAGGATTATTACACATCCCTTGTGAAGATTCTGTTTGAAGTTTGGTAAGCTTCCTGCCCTTTGTATGGCTTCACTGTGTTATCCATGGTGAACCATACATTGGGTGTGGGGGAGACTACCCTCTTTATGACCAGGATGTTGTAGAAACAGTTGTGATCAGGCACACACACACACACACACACACACACACAGAGATGGAGATGACGCCGCCGCAGTCTGCTAGCAGCCAGCGTCTGGGACGCCTGACGAAAGCCCTGGTGCTTAACTTTGTCACCAGGCCGGTCGGGATGGATGGCGATTGAGGGGATCCAGAGATTCTTCCCATGAACGGAAACAACACGAACAGTGAGTACAGAAGGCCTTAGAGAGCGGCTACGTGACCGTGCGGTTAAACGCAGTTACGTGAGTGCGCAAGCTGTGCATGTAGACGCAAGCTGCCTGGCTTCTCCGCCAGTGTTGTTTTTTTTTTTTTTTTTTATCTTTTTGATTTATTTAAGGAGGTAGGTTTGGCTTCTCCGTCAATGTTTTAAGGAGGGTTAAGACGGTTTCTCCACCGAAAGGAGGATAGAGCTCTAAAAAATAAAAAACGTTTTTTCTCCGCAGTTAAGGGCGTTGAGTGTTTGGTTTCTCCACCAATAATAAGGAGGGTAGAGCTCGCCGCGGTAAGGGAGGTTATAGGCCTAAAGAGAGTGTGAATGAGCGTATGTGTGTGTGAGTGCCAGTAAGTGAAGGCAGCAGCACAGAAGGAAACCTAAGTGGTGTTAATGGAATTCTGTGACCTGTTGTGTACACGTAGCCTGGGTTTTGGGGTAATTCGCGTTTCCTGCCACAAACGTAAAAGAAGTCCGCCTTGAAAGAGGATGAAATACACTGCAAAGTATTCATTGGGCAGCACGTGGTGTGTGGATCGTTGACGAATGAAGTGAAATTGTGCTCTAAGCAGAAGTGAGTGTGAGCGTGTCTGACGTCACGGTGTGTGTGAAAAGGTATCCAGCTGGGGCAGACATGATTCTGCAGATCACCTGCCCAGTGGACAAAAAGAAATAAAATAGTTGTGTTGATGAATGATAGCATGAAGAGTGTTTGGTGTTTCTCAGCCTGAAACAACTTCAATGCTACATTCTGTTTTGGAGAAAAGGACAGTTTAAAAAAAATCAGAGAGAGAGATGTGTGTTGTTTAAAGCAGTGATGAGAATAATGAAAGTGTGATGAGAGAGGAACACAAAAACATACAGAAAATGCATTAACTATACTAACCCTACATGCATATACACAATAAATGATACTCATGAAGACCAGACAGCATCTTAAGCATGAGATTCTGTTAGTCATCTTGTCCAAGTCACTAGTAAGATGAAAGTGATACATAGACTAGTGGACTGAATATTATAGGAGGACAGATGGTTGCATCATAGAGGAGAAAACAGAATGCTGATGAGAGGACTTAAATGAGTGAGCTGAGTGAGCTGATTGTGAGTTTCTGGTGTGTGAAGAAGTTTTACCATGGCACACATTTAGTTACATGAGAAGAAACTTATTATGTGATGAGACAACAGGGTTATGCTGTATGTTGTGTGTGATTGGATGAATGTTTGAGATTAAACTGGCTGTTGATTTGTCTTTTGTTACTAAGTTGAGCCTGCCAACAGATCCAACAGATCCACAGAGGATGCCATCGCCCACGTCCTACACACCACTCTCAGCCACGTGGACAAGAAACAGGGTAACTATGTGCGAATGCTGTTTGTTGATTACAGTTCAGCGTTTAACACAATAGTGCCCTGCAGACTGTTCACAAAGCTCAGGGATCTGGGACTTAACAGCCGTCTGTGTGCACGGGTGTTGGACTTCCTCACTGGCAGAACTCAGGTGGTGAGGGTGGGCAGGTGCTTCTCCAACAGCATCACCATCAACACAGGAGCACCTCAGGGATGTGTCCTCTCGCCACTGCTCTACTCCCTCTACACTTCAGACTGTGT